CCATTGGCCGGTCCCGGCGCCCGGGGGCCGCGTAGCCACACCCACAACTGCTGCTCCCAGCCAGCCGTTGGGGGGCAGTGCCACCACCTCCTCTCGTCTGGCCCAGGCCGCATCGAGCTCGCGGCCACCCACCGCATGGGCGCCTGCCCCACCACCACGCCTCCCCTCACGGCCCGGCCTCGCCCTCAGCCCCCGGGCCCTGGGGTGCAGCAGGCAGGAGCCAAAGGAGGGACGGACTGCCCAAAGACTGCACGTGCCCTGGCAGCCTGGCAGGAGCGGTACCACAACGTGCCCCCTCACAGGTCGCACTTGGGCTGCTGTTGGATAGCCCTGATGCATGAAGACAGTGCTGCCCCAGGAGGGGTCCGAGCCAAACTCCACACAAGCCACCTAAAATTGTACTCGCCTGTCTACTGGGGCATTTGGACCCAAGCCAGGGCTGCTACACACTTGGCTCTGTTGTCATCTCAGAAGGCAGGGCAGAGATGCACCTTCGTGAGCTGACTAAGAGATAGTGTACATGCGTTTGTGAACCTAAGTTCTCTTCATCAGATGCTATCCAGCTCCCCCCAGCACCTGGCTGGGGATTGTCCTCCATTTGTGCATGTATATCCAGCTCCTAGCCCAATTGATCTCAATAGGAACAAGTCAATGACTGTAAAAACCTAAGGAGAAGTAAGCATAGTATAACATATGTAAGTGCAAACTAGCACAATTGTTTCCATAATCTAAACGTGCCAAGGGGATTCTGTATACCCACTCTGAAAAGAGTCCCTGGTCTTATGGGTAGCAACAGAAAGACTCAAAGTGTGACTGCCTTCAAAATGGAAGCCTGATGTTAGGCTGTGTGAAGAATGGGATGGAGAATAATCTGTGAACAACAAATGGCTTGTAGACTGGTACTACAAGAAAGGTTCCTACCATTGGGAAACATGCATGGAAAAAGACTCTTGATGGATGGACTTCCCCTCACCCGGAGTACCTGGGACATTATCCTAGGACTAAGGCTGGCACAACTGACAGGGTTTAAAGCCAAGAAATAAAGGGAAGAGAGGGAATTGAATGAGATTTGTATAATCTTCACACCCAGTTTTAATACATAGGAAGGGGAAAAATCAGATAAACAAGCACTGGCTAAAGCAGTGGTTCTTAACCTTTTTCACATCAAGGCACCCTCATTAGAGTCAAGGCACCCCTTAGAAAATACCAGTTCTTAGCTTTCCACTTGTTTCTTGACAACAGAAAAATAAAGCCAAGACTCAGAAAGACAACGCTAAATTATTCTCACAACAGGTCAGAATGTTTTTGATGCACTGGATTCCCATTTGAAATCTCTGGGTTTATCTTGTGAATCATGTAGGTGCTTGCACACCCTGAAGTGCTAATATTGAGTGGTATTTTGTGAAACCCTTGGAAGGATCTCACAGCACTCCAGACTGCCATACCACCCTAGTTGAAAATCACTGGGCTAAAGGAGTATCAGAAAGTTGCAGAATAGAGAACAAAAAAAGTACCAATGTTGATGAGAGTCAAGTAGGCAACACCCCTAGTGAAAAGACAAGTATTTCGGTTAAGAGAACTGACATGTAGTAATGCAAGGAGCCTGAGCATCAGTATAGAAGAACTAGAGCAGCTGGTTGTCTTCAGCTTGTGCCTGGTCACCATGTTCAAATTTGAATCCAAAAATGGGCACATGCTATCACTCTATCTGTAGCATTAGTGTGATCCTTGTTGGTGCATGGTTCCCCCATACATGGGCAGGCTAGTATGTGTTCTCTAGTCTGAAAGTTTCCTCCACATTTGCACATGGTGTGTGCCTCATTAGAGCATTCCTATAGTTGCATGTTGACTTTAGTCTTGCTGCCCCCTGTTCAGGGACTGCAGCAGCCCCTGTCAGATTCCTCAAATCTGCAAACCCTGGTTCACACCTCTGACTTCAGCTGAAGAATTGCTGGTGCAAAATATATATTGTGATGGTAATTAAAACAGGATGTAATTGCAATCATGACAGGCCCACAAATATTGAAGAGCAACACTATGCAGATAAGACAAATACAAGATAAAAGGTGGTAAGGTGGTCTGTCTGATATGATAGACTGCAAAACTGCCAAAACCCAAACCAAGTTAGACCTTGTAAAGGAAATTAAAACCAATAGCAAAGGTTCCTCAGCCATATAAACAAAAAGAGAACAGGAAAGAAGTGGGGTTCCTATGCAGTAAGGATGTGGTAGAGATTAAGGATCAAGCCCCCAAGATTAAGTAACTACTTTGCTTCAGTTTTCAATAAAGCTAATGATACTAAATGTGGGGACAAAAAGATGCTGAGATTGAGGGTGTGGAAATGGAAATTACTACATCCAATGTGGAAACAAACTCAGAAAACTCAATGCCCCCAAGCCAAATGAACTAGATAATCTCCACCACAGCATTCTGAAAGAACTGGTATATGAAGTCACAGATCTCTTGAAATGTTTCTTTAATAAACCTGTCAAGCTGGGGGTGGTACTAGATGATTGCAGATTAACAAAAATAGTACCCCATCCTTAACAGAGGCAAAAAAAGTGACCCAGGCAATTATAAACTCATTATTCTGGCTTCATCAGTATTCAGGGCTCTAGACAACATTTTGAAAGAAAGATAATTGAAGGTATGTTGGTAAATGGAACAAAGGGATGCAACAGGGGTTTGGCAAAAGTAGACTGAGTGGCAGTAACTTGATAAGAAAACTCATTTTTTTAGATGAAGCAAGTGCATCACCCCTAATCCAGCTGGAGTTCCATAAAATGTTTGATAAAGTTCCAAATGGGAAATTATTCATTTAACTGGAGTATAAGAAGTGTAAAATGGATGATGCTCTGGCTAAAGGGGAAATGGCAACAGGTCATGGTAAATGGAGAAAGATTGGGTTGGAGGAAGGTCACTAGTGGAGTTACACAAAGATCAGTCTTATTCAATATTTTCATTAATGACTTTCACGCCCAGTTTGGATGAATATGACATTGTTGCAGGGGTTAGGATTCAATAACCCAAGATTCCTTCTAGTTCTACATTGCTAAATATGCAACTATATAATGCCATTATATAAATGAATAGTGAGGCCTTATCTAGAACAATATTTTCAGTACTAGGAAGTCCATCTCCAAAAGGATATTGCAGAAGTAGAGAGCTCCTTCCCTTTTCCATGTCCTTGCAACAAAGTATTTAGCAGAATTCACAGATCTGTTGGAATCTGATGGGGCCCTGCTGTGAGCACTTCTGCTATGGCCTCAAACTTGCAACCTCTGGGCTGTCAACCATGCACCTTAGGGCACCTATACACATGCTGGATGTCTGCTCTGACGTGCTAATTAGCACGTGTCAGAGCAAACTCAAGTAATCGAGTCTGAAACGTGCTACTTAGCATATTCCAGCAGCCTCCGCATCATGTGTATTCAGCATCCCCATGCTTTAAAATGATGGCGGGGGCGATTTAACTAACACATAAAAACAAGCTTTCCTTAAAGTGCTCCCGCCACCATTTTGAAGCATGGGATGCTGAATACATGTGACACTGCAGGGACTTTAATTAGAATGGCTCCCAGAGCCATTCTAATTAAAGTGCCCCCCTTCCACCCCAGAACATGTGTAAAGATGCCCTTAGTACCCTCACCACCCATAGAGGCAGATGAAGAATATGATTTGGGGCTCAGATAAACTCTCACAAGGCATAAGACTAAAAGATCCCAAGACATACAGAAATGTTTACCATAGAAAGGAGATTGAGAAGAGAAAATGCGTAACTATAATATAATAAATGGGAAAAGGAAGGCAAATCAAGAGCTTGTGTTCATTCTGTTTCATAACACAGGAACCAGCGAAGGCTCAATGCAATTAAAGATGTAAAATTAAAAACATATTAAAAAGGAAAGACTTTTTCACACAACATGGAGTTGAACTATAGAATTCACTGCCACAGGAAGCCATGCAAAGGCTTAGCAAGATTCAGAAAGGGATTGGATTTTAATGGGTAACTAGCATATTCCAGAAGTGCTGTTGATCCTTATTCTTCTGGGGTGAAACCAATCTTCATGGATTAGAAAGAGACCTAATGTGGGGGTACCTGTTAAACCTGCTAATGCAAGGTTTCTTATGCCCTCTTCTAAAGTGTCTGATTCTGGCCACAGCCAGAGACATGATATCACACTAGATATCTGATGTGTCTGATCCCATTCTAGCAATTCTATTCCTATGAACTCTATGTAATATAGGATCTTTTTAATGCTCTCATGCTGTTGTTCCGAAAGCCACAGTTCACAGGCAGGTCTTGTATAAAGACAATTTAGCAGCAGTACAACGCAGAAGGCAGGCCTGGCATTATTTGATTCTGTCTTCTTTTTTTCAATGTGTAGGGCATTTAACTCCCAACATACATCTTAAAAATACAAGACAAGTTGTTTGGACGCTGTGTTCAGAAACCCAGACAATGTGTGTGTTCATTTCAGATAAGTATTTACTTTCCCCAGCATCACTGACCATCTGTACAGTCATGTACAAATAAAAACAATAAAAGGGTCCAGTGCCCTCCTGACAGAGTACACATGTTCCAAGCTTTCGTCATGTAAATCTGGGTGAAGCAAACACTGAGCAAAGCAGTTAAATTGTGGCCAGTGCCACTAGTTTACCTCCTCCTTTGACAAAGACATGCATTACCCATTAGAGACAGGACAAAAGGAGGGAACTGAGACAGTAGAAGAAATTAAATACTAGGAAAACAACTTTTCTTTGTACAGGGAAAGATCATCCGGTCAACCAAGCTTATAAGTACAAGCTTATGAAGATAGAATCTCCATTCCAAGACAGAGGGGGGAGGGGAGAGGGGCGAAACACACTCACACACTCTCACCCACCCACATACCCTACTTGGTTTCTATAGCAGCACAATAGCAGACATTTTTCTCTTTCCACAAGAAAGACTGACTAATGTTCTGCAATTACATTAGTCTGCATTTTAGTCTGATTTTATCTTCTCTTAAGCTCCTGTGTTATTTCTTTTCCTCCTTATGTAACTTGCAAACCCTGAGCCAAAAAGAGTTAAGGAAAGTTTTTCCTTCCTATGAAGAGAAGCCCTTCTGCTTTTCTTATTTTATTGTATTGGTTTGTGGCTTCACTTTGCAAGTAGCTGTTCTTGGAAAGACCATCTGGTCAACCAAGCTTATAAATACAAGCTTACTGAATAAGCATGGGAAGTATGGTGATAATAAAGTTGATGATAAGACTCTTCTTGAATAGATCCAGGTTCACTCAGGCAGGAAGATTTCTTTCAGAAAAAAATAAAATCCATCTTCCATTTTAGAAATATGTCACAGGCTCTATTTTAAACACTCTCCTAACGGCCATGGCTGTAGTATTAAAATGCTGGCCATTAACTCTTTTCATCTCCTCTGGTTTCATGTAGGCTGGGATTTTCAGAGGAGCTTTGTCTATACCAGAAAAGTTTTGCAGGCTTAACTATAGCTCTAATAGAAAAATCCTCCTAGTGTAGATGCTGCTTATACTGTCAAAGAGCATGTTAGCTGGTAGAATTCATAAAAGTTCTCCAAGCAAAAAAAGGCTGTCTCCGGAAATGTATATGGATATTCATACCAGCATACCTGTGTCTACACAAGGGCTTTCACCAGCTATGAGATTTTGGAACAGCAGCACCAACAAACCCCTGCCCTTTAGCAGACCTGCCCATAGGCTGGTGGAAGCCCAAACCTCATTCAGTTCCCTTAGGCTCTCTTGCAAAGAAGATATGCGGGGGCAGACCAATTAACATATCATTCTGTGGCTCCAAAGGCCTTATCTTGGACTTGCATTGTGGGCTGACGCCTCTCAATGCAGCTGGAAAGGAAGCTAGGGAGTTAAAAGGCAGCTGGATGTGATGTTAGCTGCATCACTGCCCCATATGTGCCTGGCTACAGAAACTGGAGTGCCTTACCCATGCCAGCCAGAAGAACTATCTAGGCTCAGCAGACTTTTGAATACTTTGACCCATACAAATCCCAGTCATAGTCCCTCATCTGACCATGCACCACTCCTGAAGTCCACTCTCATCCAAGTTGTCCTGCTAAAGGCAACTACTTTCATGTTCAAAAGAATTTCTGTGCACGTACATAAGGAGGGGGGTAACATGATGTGTCCCAAATTTCCAGTATCTTAGAAACCTCTTGTTCTCTAAAAGGAAAGGCATCAAGAGATGGAATAATGCAAGCTAAAAAAATGCAGCAAGGGGATTTTACTCTTTCACAATCACTTTAGTAAAACAGTTCCTTATCAAAAGGCCACAACAATATCACCTTTCCTTAAGCTTTTATCATAGGCCTTTTCTTAGAAGGACAGATACAATTGAAAAGAATTATTTCTATAAGTCACTGAATGTGCTAAAACAATAACATGGTTTCAGTCAAACACTCAGAAGTTAGGAAATGCCAAAACTAAGGTTACTTGTACAACTGGAACTCAGCACCACTTATGAGGAAGGGTAATTTTTTAGGTCCAGAATCTCAAAAGGTGGAAGTTAGACACCTAAATCCTTTAAACCAGGGGTGCTCAATCTCCAGCTCATGGACCAAGTATGGCCTGCAGATCCATGCCTTCCAGCCCACAGGGGTCCAAAATTTGGTGACAGAGGAGTGGTGGCACCTATTGCACCCCTGTGGGGAGCCCTGGGGGCTGGATAGCATGCTGGATGGGTGCACAGAGGTGGCCTGGGGCCTAAACCAGGCACATGGGCTGGCTGAAGGCAGTGTGGGACCGACCCTGCAGTGCAGGGTTGAGTGGTGTCCTGATCCAGTTGCGCAGGGCTTCTATCCAGTGTTGCAGACTCTAAGGAGGTAGTACAGAACCTCAGGGGGGCAGCACAGGACCCTGATCCATCAATGCAGGCCCCAGGGAAGCACTGCAGAGCCGAGGGAGGCAACACTAGGCCCCAGTTTGGCAGTGCAGGCCCTGATCCAGGCACATGGGGCTGAGGAAGGTGGCACATGCCCTATCTGGTAGCAGACTGGTGCGTGGGGTTTGATCTAGCCTGTGGACTAGCCCTTGGCTCCAAACAGGTGCAACACCACAGGTGAGCACCAGTGCCTGAGAGGAACTAGAATTTATTCTATATTTCTTTTTACCCCCATCACTCAATTTGTGGCTCAATGCATTAATCACACTCTGTACTGAATACAAAGGTATTGATTTCCTCAGGGGCTTTCCTAGAGAGCTCTCACAGGAGTATCTTTGAGATAGATCAAAGGGATCCAGACTGCAACATTTAGACACTACAGAGATCCTTAGAGCCCAGTCAGACACTGCCTAACCTTGGGGATGGTTATGCTGACACAATACATTTGCCATTCCTGGCAGTGATGCTCTTAATGAGGGGTGGATCAAGGAGTGGTGCACTTGCACCCCCCCTTTCACTCCTGTTCCACCCAAAGTTTAAAACCTACTGCTGCGCAGTGGCCACAGCATTTTTAGTCAGGCAGAGCTGAGGGACTCAATTGATGTCATGGCTCATTATCAACTATCCGACCCCCTCTAAACTCTTCATTCTACAGGTGTTAACAACCCTTTGTTTTTTATAATGGTCTTGATGTTCCACCAAACTATCATTTGTTCTGCAATTCTCCTGTCTGTTAGATGCTCCTGGTAACAAAGCTCCTATTTCACAAGTCTATAAAATGTATTTAACTCATTCCAATGAAGTTATGTTTTTCCTTCAAGCTTAAACTTGAATAACAGAGCTGTAGGCCCATAGCATGTTAGTAAAGCTTCTAGTTTATTTTTAATTGGAGAAAAATAGGTGTTGACACATGATGATGCACTTCACCATGTGCACCCCCCTTTTCAACATTCTAGATCTGCTCATGTCCTCAAACATGAGGGGCTGCTTTGCACTGGCTGCCCCTCAAACAGGAAGCAGTGTAGGCCCATCTATAGTCAGGCTAATTTATCACAGTGGCAGGTTAATTGGCATGGCCTCTCAGCAGTGCTAAATAGTCTGTCTGATGGGTGGATAGACATGACTACACTCTTGCACTCTTAAAGAGATGGCTTTCATAGAGCAGCACAGTGTCCTTGAGCACTGCCAGAGAAATCAAATACTTCACTGGAGCAGGAATTGGAAGACATCTTTCAAGCAAAGGTCATCTCTGCAACCTGTCTGTTCAAATGAATCATTAAGTCCCTTAGACAAAGTGAAGCAGCTCTAACTGAAGAAATTGAATGCCACACCCTAGAATAACTTCTGCTTCAGCTGTGAGGGGGCTCTGGTAGAAGATGGGAGACCGGGGTCAAAATTCCTCTTTCTAATTAGGCAGAAGATAGGTCTAGGTCTCACAGCCCAGGAGAGGATGCTAACCAGTTGACTGTTGAGTAAAAGGAGACCACAATCATTCCTTCCAGCCCCTTTTTATGTGAAAAAAGGAGTCTTGTCTTAGGGTTTTAACTCTTTGACATTTAAATCCCACCTTTCTCCTCAGCAGTTCTCCTCCTTCACTCCCTCCTGCTACCTAAGAAAGCTCAACATGTTGCCTGCTTTCTTAGGCACCCCATGAACTCTGCAAAGACCCTGAGTGCCAAACTGAAAGCGAAAGATTTCACTGGGTGGTAGGCACCAAAGTCCCTGTCTGGAGCTATGCCTTAATGGTCAACAAACATTCATATATATACACACACAATACCCTCAGGAGGGGAAGAGGAGAACAAATCAGCCTCCATGATGGTGGCAAAACCCTGGGCTACAGAAGGTATCGAGAAGTCATGGATGGATGAACCAGTGGGTCTGTGCTACATAAATCACAGCAAGCAGCTTCACTTCTGCTCTGGGAGCAAAACTTTCAAAGGTGCCTAAGGGGATTGGGCACCCAACTTCTGTTAATTTTGAAGAAAATGAAATGCCTAACTGCCTTAGAAGCTTAGGAAAATTTTACCCAGTACAGAAAATATTACCAGGATGATCACTGATTGGTCCTAGTAAATGACTAGATTCTAATCTTGGAAACTAACTAACTAACTAACCAACCCAAACATTTCAAGGATCCTCAAAGCCAGTGAAGCAAAGAGAAATTAGGGTAATCGAGACTTTAAGGTAACTGAAGGTAAATGATTCCTACTGGACACATGTAACTACATTCTAGATAGAAGGGATTTGAGGCTAAACATGGCTGACTAAACACAGTTGTTTTGGATACAACAGTGATCTTCTGTCCTTATTTAACTCTCTATTCTTTTTTTTAATACAATAATCTAACTTGATTGCATTACTGTCTGCGGGATGTTTTAGATACTGAAATCAGCGCTGATTCTTCAAAGTTGTGTAACAGCCTTAAATAATTTCTATTCATCAGGGTTTCAAGATAATCATTACTATTCTTACAATTATTATTATTCAGGGAGTTGACTACAGATATGCAGTCAGAAGTTGACAAAGGAACGGCAGTCATTTTTATTGGCAAAAATGAGAAACTGGAGCTACTACAGCCTTCAACACACTCACAATGATCACATTTTCAGCAACATATTGTGAAGATGGTTTAACAGGCACAGAAATTAAACACAGGAAGCTCAAGACTGGATTATGTCAAAGATGTTTGTATTCTATAAATCCTCCCGTGATTATGATGAAATCTACCATAACGAAGAAGGGCAATGCAGGGCTATCATGTAGAGACATG